GTGCTATCGCCACTAGCCGTTGGATCGAGTGAGAGGACCCGGGGGTTGTCATAGCGAAGACCCGATCTGCTGCCGTTTGGACCTGTGAGCCACTGAAATCGAGGGAGCCGAACTGCAGCTGTCAGACCTGGGGTTTGTTGCAGTGGAGAACCGGTCTGCCGCCGATTGGACCTGCGAGCAGCTGAGGCCGAGGGAGCCGAGCTACAGCTGTCGGATCTGGGAGCTGTTACAACCGGGACCCGGTCTGCCGCCGTTTGGACCTGGGGGCCGCTGGAACCGAGGGAGCCGAGCTGCGGCTGTCGGATCTGGGAACTGTTGCAACGGAGACCCGGTTGCCGACGTTTGGACCTGCGAGCTGCTGGACCGAGTGAACCGAGAGGCCGAGTGGGACCCGGGGTTGTTGCCGCTAGGCCTCGGCTCACAACATAAGCTAACAACATAAGCCTGTGAACCTCGTGACTAGATCCTGTGCTTCTGAGAGTTGATACCAACGATCCAGAAGTATCGTGAGTAATGCCGAGCAAACACAAACCAAGAAATCATGAGTCGGAAAATTACTCAGAAGACATGGAGGAAGTTAAAAAATCCTTGAGCTTTATGAGTGCTGAACTGACAAAAGTAGCAACTAAGTGTGAACTCCTGACCGGACCGTTTGAAGAAGTGAATCAATTGAAAGAACTGATAAGTAATAAAGACAGAAAAATAGCTGAACTGGAACAGAAAGTAGACGACATGGAACAATACACAAAAATAAACAACTTATGGCCCTTTTCCATTAGTACCGGTACGGGCCGGTACAGCACGGCTCTACTCTACTCGGTACGGTACAGGTTGTGTTTCCATTATGCTTTCAGTACCGGTTCCAGTGGGCGGGGTTCAAATTGACGTCACCACCTCTCACCAGCTGGTGGCGCTGAGACGCAGAAACTGTTTTCAGTACAGGTTGAGAATTTATGTTATTTTGAAGTTGTGTGTATGTATGTATGCATGTATGTGTGTATGTACATGTGTATAAATATATATATATATATATATATATACACATATATATATATTTATACACACACAAATATATATGTACACACATATGTGTATATATATATATGTGTGTATATATATATATATATATATATATATATACACACACACACACACATCTATATATATATATATATATCATATGTGATATATATATATATTATATATATAAATATATACATATAGTTATATCACATATGTAGTCATACACATATGTATTTATATACATATATATGTATTTATATATATTCATATATATTTATATACATATATATGTATTTATATATATACATATATATTTATCTATATTTATCTATCTATCTATATATATGTATATAAATTAAAACTCTGATGAACCAGATTCTACAAAAACATTACATTTAAATTTTTATAGGTTTTCATCATCATTTGATGTATTTGCACTCATTGTGTCTACTTTTAATGTTCATTTTAAACGTGTGGTTTTCTTTCTTGTTCACATATATACATTTTATTTTTAGCTTTGCTTTAAAGTTCTTGTTTTGTGATTTGTACATTTGTGGGTTAAAATAAAGTTGAACTGAAGGTCGACTCTTCTTTAAACATGTTTGAGGGAAATATTCCTGAGATCCAATAGTTTTGTGTCTTTTTATGATTTTCAGCTGAGTTAACAGTCATTAAAGTGAAAACAGGATTTCACGATGAAGCTGGCACCGTTTTTTTTTTGTTTTTTTTTTATCTTCAACGCTCTGCTGGTCTCGCACGACACTGCCCGCAGTCACACGATCCTCTCCTCCGGAGAAGAGGAGGCTGGGAGGCTCATCCTCCCAGCTCCAGCTCAGCTGGTCACTCACAGAGGCCGTTCCAAGACTCCAGCCGCGCGTAATCATGAAGGTCCGACCCGCGCAGACAGGCGGACAGAGACGGGTCTGCGACGAACGGTGGAAGCGATTTTAAAAAACCTTTTACGTGTAAAAAAATGATAATCATTTTTAAATCGCTTCAGCATTTTTTAAAAACATTTTTTGTATAAAAACAAAATATTATTTTATTTAAAAATAGCTTCCAGCGTCCGTCCCAGACTGTCCAGTCCGCCTGACTGCCGGGTGGGATCGGGATTCAGCCTTCATGATTACGTGCGGCCGGGGTCTGGCAACGTCCATCTGTGAGTCCCCATCTCCAGTTTCGCAGTGACCTGCGGAGCTCTGAGCACACAAGGCTGGTATCCGGAACCCGAGCCTCCCAGTCGGCACATTGAAGGATCTTCCGCGGTGACCAGCTGAACTTGGAGCCGGGGAGATGACGCCCTGCCCGGCCTGGCGCTCCGAGGCTCCGGAGGGAGGATCGGGGTAGACCAGCAGAGCTCCATCCAGCTTGCTCTGAATTATGTTGTCGGCCACCAAGCACAAAAAATGTCAGCACATCAGCATTAGACCAAGATGTTGTCAGTATTGTTTTTAAAATCTTTAAAATAAGTCCAGCCGCGGCTCCAGTCCGAGAAATTGCAAATGGCGGATTATTGTTTTGAAACGTTTCTGAATGATCCAGTGACTCCGCCCCCGACTCCGCCCCCGACTCCGCCCCCGACCAATCAGTGACCGACAGTGTACTGACGTCACGTTTTTGTACCTCTTCGTACCGGTTAGAACCACAGAGCCAAGGGTACTGAAAATAGTAACAGGTGCTAAGTACCGGTACTAATGGAAAAGCCTCAGAACCGGGCCAAGTAGGGTCGAGTCGGCCCGTACCGGTACTAAAGGAAAAGGGGCATTAGTGATCACTGGACTGGAAGTTAGGAACCGGACATATGCAAGAGTTGTTGCTGGTACTAGCACTACAGAAGACGCACCACAGGAAGAACTAAAGACTCTGGAGGAGCAAGTAGTGATTTTTTTTAGAAAACAAAGACATTGACATCGAACATGAGGACATTTCAATCTGTCACACACTGCCCAACAAATCTGATAAAGCCAAACCATCCATAGTCATCAAGTTCATTAGCAGGAAATCAAGAAACAAGGTAATAATGCAAGCAAAAAAACTGAAGGGAACAAATGTTTACATAAATGAACATCTAACACGCAAAAAAATGGAAATATTGCACGTGAAGCAAGGTTGTTGAAAAAACAGAAAAAAATAGTATCAACTTGGACAAGAAATGGAAACATTTGGATCAAAATACAGGAAGAATATCAGGCTAAAATAATAAAAGACCTGAAGGATCTGGAAAGACTAACATGAGCTCAGGAGGGGACAGATGATAAATCATTGACATAACTTCACAAACAAGAAATTAACAAAATATAAAATGAACAAATACATTAAAACATGGCAACATACGAAGACTTACAGTTTAAATTATAAAATGTTGAAGATGTGATTGATACAAATTTTTTCCCTGCAATAAAAGACTGTGAATATTACAATGAAGAACAGTTTAATGACATCAATATAACAAATGGAGGTTTCTCTATTATTCACTTTAATAGTAGAAGTTTAAATGCAAATATATCCAAAATAACAGATAATTTAAAACAGCTAAACAGAACCTTTACAATAATAGCACTGTCAAAGACATGGCTCAACGATGAAAACACAACTAATGTTCACATGGAAGGGTATGAATTATATCATGTGAGTAGAAGCAACAAATGAGGTGGTGGAGTGGCTCTATTTGTTAAAAATGAAATAAAATGTAAATTAATTAATGAAATGTCAATAATTGTTGATAATAGCACATTACGCCAGTTTTGGCCTCACTGCACTGGTTACTGGTTCACTTTAGAATCCAGTTCAAAATACTCATGTATGTCTACAAATCACTGAACAGTGTCGCGCTCCCCCACCATCTCTCTGATCTGCTACAACCGTATGTCCCACCACGCTCCCTGAGGTCAGCGGACCAGTTACTCCTCACAGTTCCAGGAACTCGTCTTAAGCGCAGAGGTGACAGGGCCTTCTCTGTAGCAGGACCAAGACTCTGGAACGAGTTACCTCTGCTTGTCAGACAGGACCCTCCCTCTCGGTTTTCAAGTCCCATTTAAAAACTCACTACTATTCAATAGCTTTCAACACAAGATGATCTGTGTTTTGATCCTGTATGCTCCACACTGGGGCAGCACGGTGGCGCAACTGGTAGAGCTGCTGCCTCTCAGCGAGCAGGTCCTTGGTTCAAACCCCGGTCCAGGGCCTCTCTGGGTGGAGTTTGCATGTTCTCTCCGTGCATGCGTGGGTTTTCTCCGGGTGCTCCGGTTTCCTCCCACAGACCAAAAACATGCATGTTAGGCTGATTGGTAACTCTAAATTGTCCCTAGGTGTGAATGAGAGAGTGAATGGTTGTTTGTGTTGTTTGTCTCTATGTGTCCCTGTGATGG